GTTTTTATACATGTATTTTTAAGTGAACAAGATTGTAATTTAAATACTCAATTATCGTAAGTACTTGCATTTCGTAATTTGTATTTTTGGTACTTAACACGGCCGGCCCCTTGAAAAAAAAAATTCGCTAAATGGGTTATTTGTGGCTAAATAAAGCTAATAAAAATAACAGTAATTATCATGTGAATGTTTTTCTTGGTCATAATATGTGCTTTATAGTATAGCTGTACGTAGGGCACATTTATAAGTTTTCTTAAAATAAACCCCAGACTACATTTCTCAAATAAGTTTGGATGATAATAGTGGGTTATACAAGTGGAGAAGGGGTTTAAGTTAATGTATTATTTTTTTATTAGTTTGTCCCTGATTTGCATAATATTAATTCCTTTTCTTATCAAACGGAAATTCACGGCGTTGTAAAAGATCAAAAACAGCAATAGAGCACCAGCTTTAAAAAAATATTGAAAAGAGTCCATTAGAATAAGCAGGATTACTGTACTTGTACAAATCTGTAAATAAGTCACAATGCTGAAATGGTAATATTGAAATATATTTATTTCTTCGAAATCACTTCCATCATGCCGATAGTAAAAACAAAATACATTTTATAGTGTTTAAAAACAGTAATTTTATAATTGACATCAACCTGCCACCTTCAGAATACTTTTCAAGTGCTCTGCCAAATTACCTGAATCTTTTTTTTTAAAGGTTTCAAAAGGCCTCAGAGAAGAATATTCTCTCTTATCCTTAAAGGATAATGGTAAATTAATTGTGCAACAAATATTTTTCTTAAATTTTACATTTTGAATTTCTTTTTACATGCACAACTCAATTTTGCAAGTTTATACGTGCCTACGTCATCAAGCGAATTGTTTTAAGCTTGACAATCCCTATTTGAATATATTAACTTAAAACCAAACGAAAAAAACCTAAAACTCTTGCCCAATTGAACGGTGTATTTAATTGATCAGTGGCAGCTGCAGTTTTTGGCATAACTGTTGGTTAATAAAGTTCTGCATTTCAATTAATTTGTTGTTTTCCAGTAAGATTACAATCTTCCAGTTCAGTTTAGAATACCAGAACTTAAAACTTGCAGAATTGTTTTGTAGCTTTTGTTTTAACTGTTTTAATCTTTGCAAGTATGACTTGTATTCAATTTTGTACAGAATTGATATGCGTTTTCTGCATGTACATACTTGCTTGGGTGGTATTTTATGCTGGCAAAACCAGGCAGAAGTTTCTGTTTTTACTAATTGCAGAGGAGTGTGTAAAAAATTTATGGATCCGCAACTGTAATATACTTTGCTAAATAAGAAAAATATTGCAATCAACGTTAAGAATTATATAACAACTTTGAAAAAGATATCATTGTGTTGTGTAATTGGCAAATGTCAAGTTCTTATTTATGCAATGTGTAAAGTTTATTAACGTGTAAAGAAATAAATAGTAACCAGGCTTTTAAAGCACCCCTGAACATTGAACAGGGTCAATCTGTATAAATGTAGATTTGCTGAGAGTGAATAATACAGGGTGAATAACAGAAAAGGAAACCCAGATGTAAATGTAGATTATAAAAATATCTTTGAAATATTTTCAAATAAGTTAAAGATCATGTGAAACACCAATGTGTCCTCTTTCCAATGATGCCTTGATATGTGTGTCTGTGGCCACGGATGACTGAGCATGCGTCATTATTCTGTCAAGTGTCAAAACCTGTACTAGGCCAAGTTTTACCTGGCTAAGAATAGATTGCTGGCTGGTTGTTAATGCAAAGGTTGAAATGGACTAGACTTCATGTAGGGCTTTATGTAGAAAGAGGTGGTGGCCACTTTGAAGGCATTGGGCCATGAGGGGTTAACTTCAACAAAGAGAGTGGTTAAATCACTGTGTCAAAAAGGAATAAATTGTTTTAAAGAAACAAGATGTCTTCTTTCTTTAAGCTGTTCAACATGCCCAAAACCTGGCTAAGAATAGATTGCTGCCCAAAATAGTAGTTACCTTTTGCACAAACTTGGCCCAGTGCAGGTTTTGACCCTTGACAGAATAACAATGAATGCTCAGTCATCCGTGGCCACAGACACACAATCAATGTATCATTGGAAAAAGTATTTGAAATTCTTTATTATATTTTTTGGGGTTTCCTTTTTTTTTAAATACATCCCGTGTTTCTTAAAGAAAGAAGGCGGCACATTGAAGGGAACACAAACAATCTTGTTAATATTCACAGTATCGAAAGCAGCACTTTGAATTTTGACCATGCTTTGTCAAATGATAATACTTAGGTTTATCTTCAATCTTTTCCTTCAAAATTTGGAACTGTAAAAATTACATCGTATTTTGTAATATAATTACAGATGAATAAATGATGGATTATAATTTTGATATCGAAACTGCTTTTGTTTTAAAATGTAAATTACTAATACACATAATGCAATGATCGAGGTACGTGTTGTAAACACCCAACCACTCGTAGCAGAACTTCCTTAGGTGATCAGGCCTTTCAAAATGCTGCCCTTTCTCTGTGGAATAAGTTACCAGTTCATGTCAGAAATGCTACATGCTTGAGACATTTTAGGATGCTGCTGAAAACGCATCTTTTCCAAAATGCTTTTGATTTGTAACTGGTTTTTATAGTATTTTTAATGAATTTGTGGTAAGGTTAATGGTTCTCGTGTTTTAATCCGTTCTTATTGAACTTAACTTGTATGTAATACTATATTTTTTAACGATGTACTTGATCCTGATTCTTATTTTAATGTTTCTGGTGATGTTCATGTATTTTAATCAACACTAACTTTTATACCCAGTTTATTGTTTTATTGTTGTACAGTGCATTTGAATATATGTTACATAGATAGTATTAGTGCTTTATAAATACTATTATTATTATTAAAATGACAGCATCGAAAGCGCCGAGGTTAATAAAGCGTCCAAGGGCGTCAATCGCTTCTCAAAAGTGGGAGGGGAAATACCTTGATCATGTTGAACTAGTGAATGAGAGCGCGAAGCGCAGAGCCCTTACAGCATGCGGCGTGGGGATCGGGGCCCGCTTAAGGGCCCCCCCAAAAAATGAATTCTAGACGCTGTGGTGCGATCTGAGGCAATTTCTGACCACTTTAACCAATTTGTTTTGAACAAAAAATAATCATTTAAGCATCATTTTCGAGTTTGGAGTCATTAAATCAGCTATTCTGAGCTATGGATCTGGAATCAATATAGGCTACAATTGTTATTTGTGGACAAAAAAGTGTCGGGACAATGATACCCCCACTTTAAAAACTGGGGGGGGGGGGGGGGGAGATGTCGCCCTGCGCTCCCTTTTGTGGCGCAGATTGAACTTGACGAAAAGGTTCCCAGTGTCCTACATGGCTTGGCGCCGACAACCTCGGTTTGGAAGCCAACTTGAAATCGGTTTATTTTACGATACGTGGGTGCATCTTCAAGACACATAAAAAATAAGTGGACCGAGGCGCTCATTATAAACGTTCACTTACTTACATCGCGTATTTTCCTTTTAAAATAAGCATTAGGGGAAACAGACAAACAACATCCTACAATCCCAAAATCCCACAATCCCAACCCCAAACACAAAACACAAAAGTGGTGATGGTCAGCGAGTCAACAGGGGCACTTGTTAAAATAAAAAAGGCACTCTTTAAAAATATTTGGGGGAAGGGATTTAAACGCTGGTGAAAAATGGGCACATGAAGGGAAAAGGGCCGTCTTTACAATATATTGGGGGGGGGGGTTAAATACCACCCTTACCACCCCCTCCCCCCCCCCCCCTTGCTGGCTACGACTCTGCAACTCTGGATCGCATTTTGATGACGTCATGATGACGTCACAAGTTTCTATAAAAAAATGGCATATATCTATGACTTTATATCCAAACTTCTTACAAAAAGAACATGGAATTTAGCGTCTTCCGTTCGTAAGATATGCAAGTAAGATTGAAAAAAAAGAAAACAAATCAATAAAAAATCACGACGTCATCATGACGTCACCCAAATATATAATTTTCATTTACAACACATACCAGACTATGTACATACAGCGTTTCAACCCAATTGGTCTTGTATTTCTCTAGATACAATACTTTTAATTTCACACCTTTAAGATGACGTCACATGGCCCATGATTACATCATCGTGACGTCATTGTACACTTTAGCTTGGTCTGTGCCTAGTTTGAAGTCAATCTGATTGCATTTCATGTTAAATTGTGCAACTAGAAAAATTTGTGTACAAAATCTATGGGATTTGGGAAAGAACAAGAGCAAAAAAAAAGAAGAGAAAAAAATCAGAAGAAAAAATATGGTTTTTCCGCTAATGGCGGAAAAGCCAATAACTGAGATATTAAAAATTCTATTTTTCATTTTTATTGCTCTAAGAGAATTCATTACATTTACAATATCATCCGTAGTGAAATACATGTAGGTGACATTTATTTCTCAATTGTATAACAAGGCACACGTATTTCTGAACGTCTTTACAAGTAAAGTTACAGTGCACTGTGATATAAAATATACAAAATATACATAACTTTACAAAAAGATGTGGCACTCCATAAGGCTTGTAAAGGCATTTCTTTTTTAAATATTTATATTAACATACAACATGTATTGCTATCCTCTATGGGCAAAGTCATATTGCTAAATTAGGGGGATTTTCGCTACTGTTATTGGTCAAATTCATGTACAAGGTAAAGATATATTCTGTTTAATCATTCCAGACTTCTATTGTTTCAAATACTGGCTATGTCAGACATCCATTGATGACCAAAAGTCAATAGACAATCCATTAACCCTCCTAAGAATTGCAAACATACATTCTGTGCCAAGTTGTCTTGTCAGTCAAAATCAATCAAGTGACTGTTTTCAACATTTAAGAATTCCAGCCTACATAAAGCAGGATTGACTGGCTGTGACTGTTATGTTAATTGATACAGCTTTGCTTTGACTGTGGGTAATTGATAAGCCAGCTGTGCCCACAACTTGCCTGCTCTGTGTTTTTATAGTCTGTTGACTGAGTTTGACTAGTCACATTGCTTGCTTGACACATGATCTGACTGCTGGTGACCAGCCTGTGTTAAAAGTATAGCAGGGGAAGTGGATGGAAATTTGGACTGTGTGTGACTGTTTAGCCCCACCCGATGATGTTCTGAACAATCAGAGCCGTTATTTATGTCTGACATGCGCGCACTTGCATATTACGCGTACGGCTGAAACATGCAGCATGGCATTGGAGAGGTACACGTGCAGTGGGCGGAGCCATATGGATTGATCTATTGTGGCTAGGAACCAATTGCAGACACCTTCATTTCACCGATGCCTAACGAATGCCTGGGCTGATGGATCATAGTAAAGCCACCTGCATTTCTATTCAGCACCGCTGGAACATGCAGTGTTGCATTGGAGAGGCACACGTGTTAATTGTTGCCTACATGTGCAGTGGGCGGAGCCTAACGGATTGATGTATTGTGGCTAGGAACCAATTGCAGACACCTTCATTTCACTGATGCCTTTTGAATGCCTGGGCTGATGGATCATAGTAAAGCCACCTGCATTTCTATTCAGCACCGCTGGAACATGCAGTGTTGCATTGGAGAGGCACACGTGTTAATTGTTGCCTACATGTGCAGTGGGCGGAGCCTAACGGATTGATGTATTGTGGCTAGGAACCAATTGCAGACACCTTCATTTCACCGATGCCTTACGAATGCCTGGGCTGATGGATCATAGTAAAGCCACCTGCATTTCTATTCAGCACCGCTGGAACATGCAGTGTTGCATTGGAGAGGCACACGTGTTGTTGCCTACATGTGCAGTGGGCGGAGCCTAATAGATCGATGTATTTTGGCTGAGAGCCAATTGCGGACACTTTCATTTCACAGATGCCTTACGAATGCCTGGGCTGGTGTATCATATAAAAGCCAAATGCATTTCCAATAATCAAGTTTCCACTTGATGTATACAAGACTATTCCGTGGGTTTCAGCCATTGTCCGGAACAAAAGAAAAATGCACCTAGTGGGAAAGTACCAGGATGGAAAATGGTGCCGACAACTCCCCATCAAATGACACTGGTAGAGGGCGCCCTAAAACCAAGCCTAATCAGGCCTTTGTTCTTACATTGTTTTCCTCATCCTATATTCGTCCACTCTTTCCAAAGATGCAGTTGGTGATCTTGCTTGTTGGCTATCAGTCACTGCTAGAGGGCGCCCTTCGCACGCACAATACCGATCCTAATGACGTGATTGGTCTATTTTTCCTTCATCTTTTCTCCAGTTTCTCTTTCTTTCCCAAGCTGGCAGTCAGTGATCTTGCTTGGTGATGATCTTTCCCTGCTAGAGGGAGCCCTTCTATCTACCTGTCCTCGGATTCGTCTTTTCCCAGGATGCGGTTGGTGATCTTGCGGGCGTGGTCCCTCATGTTGTACAGCTGGTCGTCAATGCGGCGACGCCTCTCATCGTTGGCTCGCAGTCTGTCCTGCAGATCCGCCATGCTAAGAAGGAGAAGGAAAAAAAAACACCTCACCGAATACATCTTTTTAATCTATACTTGCAATGATAATTAATCTTGAATTTGAGCATCCCCCGATCATTTTGAAAATAGCAGGAGAATGTGTTCAACGAATGGCTGAAAATAAAATTTTCAATTTTCAGCCACATAAACATAAACAATATCCTTTTGAAGAACAACTGTACGCAACAAAACTAAAAACTACCATTGAACTAATTCTCCTACACAAATTTCCATTCCACGCAGTATCTGCACTGTAAAGCAGGAGGTCATGGGTTCGAATCCCACCAGAGCAAGCACTGAGCACACTAGAGCTTAAGATGACAGCTTACTTTATATCTGTTCGGGTGGGTTAAACTAAAAGCCAAGAAACTCGACTTGGTAACAATTTCCTTGTGACCAAGTCTTGTTAGTCTTGATCCAAGACTAAATTTCTAATTTTGTTACCCTAATTTATCAAGTCCCATTCCCTGGCAAGCCCAGTCAAGCCACCGAGGTGACAGAGGAGAATATAATACATATCCAGACTTGGACCCAGGCTAAGACTTCTTTGCTTCACATCTCTAGTATCCATAATTGCCATGGAAGTGCCAAAATGAAGTCGTAAATGAAATTGTTCTCTGGCCCCACTACCCAAAATGCATCTTTTGTTACCAGTCTTCCGGCTTGAGAGGTGCCTCCGTCGTTGTCTTGTTTGTAACCAGCTTGGCCCGTTGAGCAGCTAGACGCTTCTTGAGAGGTAGGACTTTTGGAGATGAACCATCTGACTGACCTGATCAACAAGTGCATAGAATAGAAACATAGATTGCAAACGAAATACAATCACACAAGATATTTCAAAATATAGAATTGGTATCCTCGTACATGACAGACTCATCTTATAATATTTTACTCAGAAATTTAAATTGAACTGATGGCTTGGACTGAGTTGCAGTATGATGGCCAAGTGGTATTGACTCCATGCACAAATACCTCTCTCAACAGCGACAGAGACAGAGACAGACAGAGACAGAGTTAGGCAGACTGTCACCTGGTACATATGGAAGGTAGGGCTGTGCATTTTCAATAATTGAGTATTCGATTATTTTACTTGGTGCACCAGCATAACTGGTCCCCTATTGGGACTTGCATGTACCAGTGTTTGTTTTTAAATTGACAAAGAGCTTCTTAAAGTAATATGAAGAAGAGGTAGCGCAATGATATTTAAGTGATTTGCAAAAAGAAATTTGGGGTTTTTTTTTCTCATGGAAGCTCTCAAATCATGCCCCAAAATGGCTTACTATAAAAATGTAGCATTTGACAAAAAAAGAACCTGCAACTGAAATGATGAAAAGCACATCCTGGACCTTTTTCATTATCTCCTTCAGACCACTCAAATTTTACGAATATTTGAATTGAAAGAAATAACCCTGTTCAAATACTTGGTTGATGATCGATTATTTGAATATTTGGTTTATTTAGCCCTAATGGACGGTTTTAATACGGAAATCGGCTGATCTGAGGATAAAGTCTCAAGCCTGATGTGAAAGCTGTGCAGTTTAAATTCAGGAATTAGTTAACATTCCTCAGTGTATCCTTACCAGGAGATTTCATGATCCTTGGCTTGTGACCCTGAGCCCTCCCTCTGTCTGGCGACTTGGGTGATGGAGAAACTCCTCTTTCTCTGTCACCCAGGGAAGTCCTGGCCCCTTCCCTACCCTTCCTTGGACTCTCCCAGCTTTGCCTTCTGTCGTCCTGCTGAAACTCCGAGAGATCCAACGCCAATTCAGAGTCCTCTTGAGTTGTGTCGGTGACTGAGGACTGCCCGTGGTCTGTGAGACCAGAGAAGTTGGAGTTATTTACGTTGAGGGAGTCACTATGGGTAGCAGGATTTTGCTGTTGGTGACCGGCGATGTGGCGGTTCACAAATGCAAGCATCCCTTGTAAGGTTTCAAAGTTTTCGGCATCCTCCACGCTGTCGGTGTCCGAGAAATGGCCTAGGGTTGCCGGCTCGTTTGTGAACCTGCTGCGTGAGTGGGCATCCTGTGGATCGTATCTGTGGGTCGTTACAGGTTCATGGAAGTCCTGACTGATGTACGGCCCCCGCGACTGGTAACCAGTGTCCGTCAGGTGTCTTGAGTGTTTACCATGGTGCGGGGAACCTGTATGCAAATGCGTGTCCTGGAGACCGTTGTGAAGGGTACCGGGGACGTCGCCACTCCCAGCTGACGGGAGGTTGTGGTCTGAGGCGCTCCGACGCAGGACGGTCCTTGGAGATTGGAAATGCGGGGACGCGGGGGACATAAGGGGAGGGATGAGGTAGGGAATGTTACCCCTGCCAGGGGTGGAGGAGGGACGGTTGGGAGGTTGGTGAGTTGTAAATTGGGTGCCGAAAGTGGCCCTCTCGTAGCCTGATATGCGGGCATTCAAGCGGGCAACTTCTGCTTCCTAAAAGAGGGACAATAGCAAAATGCTCAAGTTGAGATCATTTTGAACATTAACTCAGTATGTGGTGACAGGTCTGAATGAACCTTTATAATGTGTAAGCCCTAATTTTGCTGACTTTGGTATTCAGTGTTGACAGTGGTGTCATTGGCCAACCAAATCATCCCCTTCTTGGCCAGCAGTTATACTTCAGACTGGTGATGTTCTTCGCTGGAATCCACTTCCAAAACTCCACAAACAACAACTCTTAAAATCCACAAATCAGCCATCCACAACTACAAATCCACAACCTGAAATCCACAACCCCAGCTTACCTTGATGACGATTGCCTCATTGGCTGCCTGGATGACCTCCTTCCTGGCAGCCAGCTCATTCTCCAGACCCGTCACCTTCTCCCTGAGTGACTCTACATCCTGTCTGCTCCTTGTCTCTGCTTCCTTGAGTCTGTTGATCTCTAATCGGTGGCTGGCCTCCAGTTGGTTCTTAGAAGCCAGCAACGCTGCGTGGCTGTCCTGCAACTGTGCCAGCTGGTGAAACAAAAAGGCATGTTCATCTATTAATACTGGGTTTTGCTGTCCACTAGCGTGGACACATGACCTCCTGTGACTATTGGAAACTTCTTACAACTTGACCATAAAGCTTGCCAGAGTTTTGCTAGCTGTTCCTAATCTAATATGGTACCAAGAACGAAAACCATTTTTTTGGTATTTGGTTTTGCTTTCTATCTATGCTATTCAAGTCGTCTAACAAAAGGCAAGGCCCTGGAAAAGGCTGGTCAATATGAGAGCTTCGCGGTTCCTATTGAAAAAGCACTACATCACACTCCAAAGTTCAACGGATAATTTTGAAAAATTTGATCAAATGACATCCTGACTGGTGATATTTTCTGACGAAAGTTGAAATGGAAGGCAAGAAGATCAGTCAATACTACCCACCTCTTGTTCTTTCACCTCCATCTCCCGTAGCTGCAGGTCCCGGATGCGTTCCAGCTCCGCCCCGAATCTTGTCTCCGTCTCGGCCTCCCGCGCCATGACGGCCCCGTGCTCCTCGGCAAGACGGGCATGGTCCTCATCCTTGCCATGGCACAGGTCGACAGCATCTTCGTAGTCTCTGGCCAACTGGTCCTGATAAGAAAACGTCATAAAGATGAGAACAGAGAGGATCGTTTTCCAAAACGTGACTTTGTCTGCAGCTTTGGCACCAGAACATTTTGTCACTTGAGCCAAATGAATATCCAATAATATTGCGTCGTTTTATCACCGTTTGATGTGAAGTGGAAGACAGTGCACCCAATAGGCCAACTGAGTCTGTGAATCCCTTGTGAGAAATGTAAAAATTTCGGACGTGGGAAACTGAAGCCAAAGCAAGAGATAAAGTCCATATTCGGAAAACGCTCATTACAAAAAGAATACTGTCGGCAACACTATGTGCAAGGATTGTTTAGAACAATTTGCAGCAAATGTAAGTGCACTGGTCTCTTTTATGGTAAGGCTAAGCACACAACTTTCTAAGGAGGCTTCTAACACTTGCTTAAAATGGACAGGAATACCCACACGCACGTTAACAGGAGGATTTGCGGCAACGAAATAGATTTAGATTAGGACAGCTTTCTGGTACAGTTAGCACAACTTTGCAATAAAAAACTACAGTTCCCTATAACACAGCTGTCCTCGCAAGCTTGTGATCCAACTTGTTACTTACTTGACTACAACTGTCATAAAATTGGAACCTATCATTTTTTTCGACTGATGAGGACAGTGAACGATTCGAAGGCATGGTACCTTTTCTCTCTGGACCTGCGCCAGTTGTCGTCTAGCCTCAGTCAGCTCTACATGGTGTCGTTGCATCTGTTCTCTGGTCAGTCGTAGCTGCTGACCCTGGGCCAGCTCTTCCTCATGGTGGCTGCTGCATTGATGGCTCAGGTCTTCTATCCTCTGTGGGGATGAGAGAAAACAAAGTTCAATCTCAGGAGGAACATTCAAATCTTGGGGATAAGCTGCAGGATATTTTCCTGATGAGACATTTTAGTTGGGGAAGGTTGATAACATGACTGGATGGGTATGTGTATGGAATTGTTTATAATGATTTCATTCATTCTAACCAAGGAAAATACTGCACAGTGATTTTAGTGGATACAATACAAACAAATGCATCTGGTTGAAATGCAAGTAAATAAACTTACATTGGCACAAAAATTCCAACTTCCTAGAAATGAAACCTAATTGAAACTGTCCAATTTGATCGACCAATACCTTAAGAACCCTCAACATTTCGCATTTTTTTCTTCAAGTTTTGGGTTGAACCAATATGTAAAGAAACAATTTTGTAAAACTAAACCATCATTTTGATAGTTAAAAGGGCAACTTACAAGCACACTCAATTGTTAGAATAGGAGTTTAGATGTTCTTTTCATCAGTTTGAAGATTGTGTTTTTAATACAACTCATAAGATTCATTTGTAGGGCATAACCTACAAATGAATCTTATAATAAACGTTTTAACTCTGATTATTTTGTGGAAAAACTCCTTCAATGTTTAAATAACTCATTTCATCAAGTAAAGCTCAAGTCTTTTCATAAGAGGATTTATGTTGACCTTTTGTAGCTGGGTGATCTCCATGGCCTTGTGGTTGATCTCACTCTTCTGTCTGCTCACTACTTGCTCCAGCTGCTGCACCTGTAAGGCTCTCTCCTTGAGTGTCTCTTGGTGCTCACCACACCTGTCATCTAACTCACCAATCTAAGGCAGAATATTGTAATTGATCACAAGTCAATCGCAAGTCATTCACAAGTCAAATCACAAGTCAAATCGCATGGCAAAAATCACAACTAAAATCACAAGTCAAATCTCAAGTCAAGTCTCAAGTCAAATCACAAGTCAATCAACAATATTACACTAAAAAACGTCCACTATAGAGGATTTGGAAGGGTGAAATTGAGATTGCAATGACTTGAGCAGAGACTAGACTGTCAAATGATCTCACCTTCCTGGAGCACTGTTTGAGTTCATACTGGCTCTTGCTTAGACTGTTCTCCAGCTGCAGGATCTTCTGCTCCGATTCGCTCTGGTGTTCCTTGACCGCCATATCCAGTACACAGTTGTTATACCTCAGGTCTCTCTTCAACTCGCAAATGGGTGATTTCTTCAGAAGAGCAAAATTGTACCAATAAAATTCCACAATATACACCCATGCAATCAAGGATGGAACAAGCCGAGTCTACGTTACCTCAATTCGTCGCTGAGTTCCTGCATACGCTGCTGTTTCTGCTTGGCTTCGGCCCGGCTACGCTGCAGCAGTCGCTGTAGTTCAGACAGCTGCTTGGTTGCCGTCTGCATCTCCAGCTGGGCCCGGCGCAGCTCCCCGTCCAGCTCCGTGGAGCGCTCCCTGTGAGACTTGTTCTCCTGTCTGGTGGTCTCCAGGGAACTCTCCTGGTCAGAAACTGGTGTTGTGAAGAAATACACAATCACTGATCGAGAACTAGTTTTAACAACAATACTACTATTGCAGGGAGCCAGGATGGAGATATTTGTGATAATCTTTGTCCACAGTTGTATGGTAATATTAACACGACGGTGGAACACAACATACATCACAAATCAACCAGTTGATCAAAAGTGCTCCTACCTTTTGAAAAAAATCAAAGAACTTGGTCATTTTCACATGATGGCAAATACTGTCTATTTATCAATTTCCCTTCTCTAGGTAGCTCTGCCTCTTTTTCTTTTGCCTTTTTACTTCTTCTGCAGTTGTTTATTTCTCTGCTCATTTATTAGTGTACCCATGTCACTTTGCCGCTAAGAGGAGTTCGGTTAGGACTAAAGTGTCAGTTTAGAAAAAATGCAAAAATTGAGAGAGTCAACATCTAGGACACAGATTTATTTAAGTTCATTCTGTAGTAAGTTCAACAAAAGTAAGACAGCATTTAAATGCTACGTAAACATTGTTGTTCCTTTTGTCAATACTGAGGAGGTACAAACAAAGGACAATGCTGCGCTGGCTTTCTCTGACTCTCTGAGTGAATTATTGAGGAAATGTTGAGACTTTGCACCTTTCTGTGTCATGTTGTCCAGCTGTAGTTTAGCCTCTCTGAGGTCCATATCTAGCTGGGTTGCCTTGGCTGCGTGGTTGTCGCAGTCCTTCTTGGTCTGGCTGAGCTGTAGCTCCAAGTCTGCTGACCGGGTTTCGGCTTCGGCTAGCTCCGACTGGGCTTGACTGTTGAAGGAAGTGTAAAAAGATCCGACTGTATGAACATTTAATTAGGTTACGCTCTGAGTCTGTTGAACAAGTGCCAGTCTTGGCCATCTTTGCCTTGGTTTGAGCTGCAGCTCCAAGTCTCAAAATTATTAGTTATGGAAGGGTTTGGTTGTAGATGCAAATCTGCTGAGTGTTGCTGGCATGGTTAGCTCTTACTGGGCTTGACTGATGATGTTGGAATGAAAGGTTTGGCTTGACTACAAAAAAAAGTCTCATAGAGTCCAAAACAAATTTTGCTTCACAAGTTCATTTTGCTTCTGTGTATTTGCTTTTCCATATGTTCGATAAGTTTGTACTGTACAAGTTTTGAAGTTTTCTATAAGTTTATAAGTCTGTTCATAAGTTAGATTTCTAACTTCTTAAACTAGTTTGACAGACGGTGATGCAAACTGACTGTTTTTTCTACCTCAGAGCCTGAGTAGCTTCCGTCAACTGACTGGTCCTATCCTCCAGGTCCATGCAAGCCTGGTGTAGCTTCTTCTCGATCAAGGCGGCATCTTTCTCTGCTGCTGTGGTCACGTGGTTTAGACCCTTCTCCAGATGTGACACCTGTAGAGAGACAGGTTATGAAATTTGTTTTTCTGAAAATGATATTAACTGTAGTTTTTCAATAAACTTTTAACTCTGTTTTCACCTCAGTGGTTCTTTGAGATATTAAAAATGCTAGCGTCATTTTCTCCCCATTTTTTAATTTCAGCCATATTCAAGCTTAGAACCCTATTTCTTAGAGCTTATGGCAAAATATATTGCACATTTTAAAGTCTCAGCAAAAATAACCTTAAGAATATACTGCAATGAAAATTACTTCACATCCAAAAAATCAAAATGGCCATAAAATGTATTTTTGAATAAAATCTCTGTATAGAACAAAATGTTTTATTAACTTTAGATAACTCTTTTTTTCCCATATATTTTTCATTTATATTAGTTAATGAATTAAGTCAAAGGGGTCGAGAACCAGTGCGTGGCTATCCACATTTTTTACATGCTAAGCAAGAAACAGTAGGGAACCAGTCACAAGCAATGTAAATCACACTACACCTTAGCTGGTACCCTGCCTCTGCTTAGCAAACACCTTAGCGACTATCCATTCACCTGGTGTTCCAGCTGTCCTTCTTTGTCCTCCAGCTCGGCCATGCGGGCCGTGCTCTGTAGCAGCATCTGCTGCCGTTCCTCAAGGGCCTGCTCCAACTCCAAGACCTGCTCGGCGCTCTTCTCCTGCTGGTCCCTGGCCTGCTGTAACTGCTTCTCAAGCTTCTTCATCTGCTCCGTCATGTTATAAAAGCATAGCTTTTTACTTGTTTGACCTATTGAAAAAGTTACATAAAAGTCTGTTAGTGAAAATTTAAGTCCAGAATGTGGTGTTGAATGGGTGGAGAACCCACAAACCAACCCTGAAGAAAATATACTGACATGCGGCAAAGGTGATAGTTTGAACAATGCTGCCATTGATTTCACACAGTTAGGGAAGCATTACACCTAAATCGAACAACATTTTAAAATTGTCTTTATTTTAGTACATGCACTCTATTTGGTCATTGTGCATGATTACAATATTTAATTTTTGTTTAAATACTCTTTTACTTTTAAAACTACCAGTGAAATTAATACGGTTAATTATTGACCACAATCTTACCACTTCAGGTTCTTTGGAAAGGATCCACCCAATCCCAGTGAATCTTCCTAGCAAGGAAACTCTCTGTAATAGCCACTCCCTATCCTCCTCTTCCACAAGTCTTTTTATTCCAGCTGAAAAATCAAAAAAATTAGAATTACTTGTTAAGAAATTTCATGCACTATCTCTACAACAGAGTTTAATGCCACATCAGGGGGTTGGGGAAACGGTGTGTAACGTTGTGTGTTGGCAGGCACAGGTTTGTCAGGTACAATCAACATTTAAAGTTGCTTTAATAAATCACAGCGCTTACAAAAGGCGCATTTTAAAACCGTGATCATTGGGCACACTTAATCCTTCCTGAAACTTTCTCAACTCCCTGGGGAGCATATACAACCTCAGGCTGCTGCTGAGCGCTAAGGGATTAATCAAACACCATGCCATCTTGGCCCTTGCAGGTTCCCATTTATACACATGGGCGAAGATGAACAACTTATGGTAAAGTGTCTTGCTCAAGGACACAAACTTCACAGCTGGCCTGGCCGGGATTCGAACCCACATTCTGATGACTCAGCCACCAGAACATGAGTCGGGTGTACTAGACAGCTCGGCCATGACACCCCACACACAAAGAATCCCTGTATTCCTAAATTACCTGTACTTGTACTTGGAGTCAGCTGTGAAAGTCTCTTCGTTGGGGTTTCTTGGGATTTGCAGGGTTTGGGGCGGGACCACTTGCACTCAAGATCAGTTCTTGAAACATTCTTTTGAATCCATAGGAGGAGCGCTGCCATGTGGTGACATCTGTCCTGGCCCACTGGGCATTCACATGATGAAAAAGTGACCATCTGCTCAGAAACCTGCAACTAAAACTTAGATTAAAAAACGAAAATTAAAAAACGAAAATTAAAATAATGACTGTTAAATGCGATTCAGTCAAATTGACTACAAGGTAAATAATTTCCAATGAAGTGTAACCGGGGAGAGTGGAATTTAGTTTGTTAAAATGGGGCACTCTCCTTATGTCCGAGTGGTTCCACTAAAAAATGATTTGGGAAGAGCGAACTTTCTGTAGTCTCACAAATATGAAATGGTTTTATTTATAATACAAATAGAGACAATATATACAAATTATTAGATATTTACACAAGAATTATATTAGAAACTTGGTTGGGTATATAAAAACAGAACTTTGTTGGGTGTATAAAAACGACAGTCAAAAGGGAAATGGCTAATGAAGTAGCTCCAAGGATATTATCACTTGGGAAGATCTACGTTCATGCCTACTCCGATGTGAAAATCGACGATCAGCAGTGAAAATACAATGTAGATGTAAATATTTTACTGCTATCGGGAGCCTCTCTCAAAATTGCAATAAAAGTGGAGAGTGTAAGCGCTCGTAATAGATGGTCTGCTCGCAACAAGATGTTGGATCGAAATCAACAATATTCCGCAGCAGGCCCTACAAGAAAACTATACCGAAACGCCCGGAATGTCAACTATTCCGCTTAAACAAAGCGCGTTGGAATGCAAAACTTGAATGCTCGCTACGCCCATCGCATAGTTGAGCAAAATTCTAGGCGGCGCGCGCTGTTAAAAAAAAAGTTTAGTTGGCCGCGAGAGGGCGCTAGGCAAAAAGCATGATCGCAATGGCTGCTCACATGTTAAATGACATAAACACGAAGTTACAAAAGTTTGGTATGAAATAATGCTGGAGTAAGGAACCAGTCGGGGAAAAGTAAGTACTGCAACCCGACCTGGTTACACTCACCCCCTAATTTTAAAGAAAAAAGAATTTTATAGAAGGGAAATCAAAGTTATCAGAGAAATAGGCAAAGTTGAATTGCAAAGGAAAAGTGAGTGACCATCACAGTGCACTGCAATCATCTTGTTCATGTCCACAAATATGTACATGTACTCTTCGACCACATGATGATAATAAAAATGAAGGAAACTAGATCTTGTAGAATCAGGAGTCCATCCTTAGTCTGTCACTAAGGCAGAGTTTATCTCATATATAGACAAATAGAACTCTCCAAGAAGGTTATTTCCTTAATAATTGCAAAAATTTGCAAAATATAGGCAAATAAATGCCAAGAATAGAAAATACCATGACGAAGCGTATTAGACGTATATATCCAATCCAGGATGTCCCTGGCCTGAGTTTATCTCGTTGGACCGTCTTAGTAACCTCGTATGGATTCAACAGAAGTGATCAAGAGACATGAAAGAATGAAGAAAAGAACAAGAATGGCAGCAAGGTCATAAAGGTAAGATTATTTTCTAATGATGTTGTTTTCAGAGTAGAAAATCATGATTGCAGTAATGACACATTTATTTTAGTTGTGTCTAATTATGGGAATTGGAAATAATGAGACAAGATTTCAAGACTGAGTAAAAGATCACAAGTGTGTTCTTAAATACAGATGAAAAGATTAAAGATACAGAAAGGCAATCACAGTAGGATAAGTGGTGATCAAATCATGTCATAAAAAGACTCTTTTTTTTAAAAACAAATTATATACATATATCATTCAGAACTTCACTATCCATCAGTATAGTTCTGAAAAGTCTGCAGCCAACCATAGAGTCTAGCTATATGCTCGATCAGCCACCGAAAATAGAGTTTGCACCCGATAAGTAAGGTGACAGATGGAACAATCCACAGCAGATGGAAATAGCCGAATGTCTGTCCAATATTCAGGCCTATCAACATGACTATGGCACTGACCAGCAACATAATTATTTGTCTGTCGCTAGTGAGCAGCAGATGTTGTTGTTGGAGGACAGAACGAGGTAGCCTGTGGACGTTGCTATGTTTCCCTCTGGTGGATCGAGTGGAACGTCGTATGGTTGGCTGTTGAGGAGGAGGAGGCTGTGCATCTTGCTGTTGGGGAGGAGCAGTATCTTCATCTTCCTCAGGTAAGAACACTTCAACTTCATATTCAGTGTCTGATGATGAAGTGCTAGAATGTGAAGGTGTTTCCTCTTGAGAAGGAGGACTAGGAAAAGATGGAGAAGTAGCTAGCTTACCCAAAGGGGTAGAAACAAGTTTAAGTTCAGAAGAATTCACAGTTTTCTGCCCACCAGAGCCATCCGCTAATTCGATGGTGTACACAAAGGAATCCTCTGAATGGTGACGGATAACTTTGTAGATGTCAGGAAAGTAGTGATCTTGGATTTTACTTCTACCTTTGTGGTGTTTACGAAGATAGACAAGATCGCCTACTTTAAACCTGTTGGGATTCGTTCTACGGTCTAAATGTTTCTTGCTCTTCCCTAACTCATGTTGTGTTCTTCTTTGTGCCAGGTGATATGCCTCCTTTAACCGGGATTGATGTAAATCAATATTAGGTTTTGCCCTTCACCAACATATAAACACTGTATACTCAGTGTGCTATAGCATATATTGTACTTATTTAGCACGTAAGATTATCAGAGGTTAATCACTGGGCAATCTAGGTTTTTCTTATGGTTATCAATTGCCTACATATAAATATGCAGCATTTTTTCAACCACATCTCTACGTCCACATTCATCTATAGCTTCACTAAGCACTTGTAGTTTTCTCTCTATGTGATGTTGACGAGAAAGGCCATCGGCATTGGAGTTGACACGACCAGGGCGATATATGATGTTGACATTGTAAGCTGCCAGAGTGGCAACCCACCGTTGCTCCGTAGCACCAAGTTTCGATGTATCGAGATGGCTTAACGGGTTATTATCCGTCCTGACAGTGAAAACTGAACCATAGAGGTAATCTTTAAACTTCTCTGTGATAGCTCACTTCAGTCCTAATAGTTCTAATTTGCGAGAGCTGTAATTTTCCATGTTCCTCTCATTTTCTCGCAGGCAACGACTGGCAAAGGCAACCACCTTCTCCTCTCCTCCCTGAACTTGAGACAAGACAGCCCCTAAGCCGGAAAGACTCGCATCTACATCCAGTATAAAAGGCAAGTCAAAATCAGCAAATGTCAGGATAGGAGGTTCTACAAACTTGGATTTTAGTTCCTCAAAGGCAGTCTGACAAGCTTCTGACCACTGTTTCCGAAACACCTTTGGAGTACAATGTTGAGTCATACCAACCAAAGCATGGAGCGGTCTAGCTATCCGGGCAAAGTCTTTGATATAGCGCCGGTAATAGCTTGCAAAGCCTAAAAAGGAACGAAGCTGCTTGGTCGTACGAGGCACAGGCCATTCTACGATCGCCTTCGTCTTGTCAGAGTTGGTAGAAATGCCATCTTCAGACAGAGTATGACCCAGATAGTTGATCTGCTTGCAGAAAAGATGACACTTAGAGGGTTTAAGCTTCAGGTTGTGTTCTTTTAACCTGCAGAAAACAGTGTCAAGATATTGCAAGTGCTCATCGAAGGTCTTGGAGAAGATGCACACATCGTCAAGGTAAACAAAAATGAGTTGATATATGAGATCACCCATGCATCTCTGCATCAACCTTTGAAATGTTGCAGGTGCACCACAAAGACCAAAAGGCATCCGGGTGTATTCATACAAGCCCATAGGTGTGATAAAGGCTGTCTTCTCCCGATCAGACTCTCGAACCCGCACTTGATGGTATCCGCTGGCCAAGTCTAACGACGAAAAGAATTTCGCACCCAAATTCAAAATAAAGTGGATAGCAAAGCTATCCTGCCGACTACGCCAAGTGTAGTGTAACCGGGGAGAGTGGAATTTAGTTTGTTAAAATGGGGCACTCTCCTTATGTCCGAGTGGTTCCACTAAAAAATGATTTGGGAAGAGCGAACTTTCTGTAGTCTCACAAATATGAAATGGTTTTATTTATAATACAAATAGAGACAATATATACAAATTATTAGATATTTACACAAGAATTATATTAGAAACTTGGTTGGGTATATAAAAACAGAACTTTGTTGGGTGTATAAAAACGACAGTCAAAAGGGAAATGGCTAATGAAGTAGCTCCAAGGATATTATCACTTGGGAAGATCTACGTTCATGCCTACTCCGATGTGAAAATCGACGATCAGCAGTGAAAATACAATGTAGATGTAAATATTTTACTGCTATCGGGAGCCTCTCTCAAAATTGCAATAAAAGTGGAGAGTGTAAGCGCTCGTAATAGATGGTCTGCTCGCAACAAGATGTTGGATCGAAATCAACAATATTCCGCAGCAGGCCCTACAAGAAAACTATACCGAAACGCCCGGAATGTCAACTATTCCGCTTAAACAAAGCGCGTTGGAATGCAAAACTCGAATGCTCGCTACGCCCATCGCATAGTTGAGCAAAATTCTAGGCGGCGCGCGCTGTTAAAAAAAAAGTTTAGTTGGCCGCGAGAGGGCGCTAGGCAAAAAGCATGATCGCAATGGCTGCTCACATGTTAAATGACATAAACACGAAGTTACAAAAGTTTGGTATGAAATAATGCTGGAGTAAGGAACCAGTCGGGGAAAAGTAAGTACTGCAACCCGACCTGGTTACAGAAGTTGACACCAATTTGGGGTACTTGCAAATTGTAGAAGTAATCAAGATTATCTTATAGTGCACAGTTAAAAAGTTTATATGGGTGTTTGTACAGTTCTCCAATATGTCTGCATAATTATATCCCCAAAAGTAACTGTCTGCCTCCGATCCTCCAACAAAATTGAGTACCTTGCAAGTTATGAACGATTAAATTTGTGTGTTTTAAAATCTTAAGCTAATTTCACCATAATACATTTTGGAAAAGTAAAGTGGTAAGGATTTAACCAGTAAAATTTCCCGGCAGGTAGGCCTAGTTTAATTTAAGGTAGTGGATATTTTGCCGGAGGTAACGCCGGCAAACTAACGTTTACTAAAGGTTTGCCGGCGGCAATCCATATCAACAGAGGGCGCTGTACTCTTTAAGATAGGGCTGAATTATAACATGTATTAAATTCCCACCAAAGTTATGTAGCACAGTCGGTACGGTGCAGTGGTTAAGCAAAGGCTCTGAGTGGGATGTCCTAGTCCGAAAATTTGGGACTCTCAATACTGTGTATGAGAGTCCCAAAACTTAAGGTATCCATATCGTGCAAAACTTTGTGCTGCATGATAAAACCAGTGTGAATCAAATTTGCAAGCTTCTTACTCACTGCAGTTTCTTCAATAATCCCTGAAACTTCTGCCTAGCAAAGTTGCTGTTGTGAGCATTGCATCACCAAAATTTCAGCTTTTAATTCTAATTTTGCAGAGAGTTATCGGAATCCATACGTGAGACATCACGTTGATGTGTACTGCAATGCATTGTGCAAAAAGACTCCTCAGCTATAACATTTTCATCATGTAGATAAAACAGCGCCCTCTTGTTGATCTGAGTGAATGCAAAATGTTTCATTTTTTAGCAGAGGGCGCTATGTTCATTTGGCCATTGATTAAAAAACAAGTAAGCTGCAAGGCTCTTCCTACACCTACCCAGAATACATTGGGAATCACACACCCATTTCCAGAGCATGGAGATTGACGTGGGTGGTTTTTGAACTGCCAAAACCTTGCCTTAATAACGCGGTACTGACACACGGTTGTCGTGGACGCACAAACTGACACACGTTGTAAAAACCACTTGCAAAACAATTTAAAAAGTTAAAAAAGGATTTTTTTTTTCTGTCAGTGTTGTCAAATTCGACTAAAAACTGGATATTTCGAGCCTGTGCTGCAGATTGCGTTGGTGGTAAGTTGTGCTCTCAACATAGCCCCACTAGTGTGGCCGTCGGTATGCTGCGCTGAACCTAAGGCCACACACCGTGGTACCGCGCGCTACTGAGGACGAAGTTTTCATAAAATTCAGGGCAGTTTCTTACATTCTCAGTTTCTTACTTTCTTATGGTTGTATTCTATGATGTCTCACCTATCACTTCTGGGATGCTTAGGTCTAATGATGTTCCATTTTCCGAGATATTCTTCAATCTTTCTGGAGCCCATATGCACTCGTGAAACGTCTGGTGGTGGCAGCCATTTTGAATGTGACAAGAGATGACCTCAAGCTGTGACGTCGCGTTTATGCAAATTGCTTGTCGAGCGCGCGAGGGCGCGAGTTGCAAATGCGACGGCTGTTTCCTGTGCCGTAGATCCTGAATAGAGATCGGTGCACGTGGACCCCTGACGATAAATGCATGGTACAGGAAACAGCCGTCGCATTTGCAACTCGCGCCCTCGCGCGCTCGACAAGCAATTTGCATACACGCGACGTCACAGCTTGAGGTCATCTCTTGTCCCATTCAAAATGGCTGCCATCACCAGACGTTTCACGAGTGCATATGGACTCCAGAAAGATTGAAGAATATCTCGGAAAATGGAACATCATTAGACCTTAGCATTCCAGAAGTGATTGGTGAGACATCATAGAATACAACCATAAAAAAGTAAGAAACTGAGAATGTAAGAAACTGCCCTGAATTTTATGAAAACTTCGTCCTCAGTAGCGCGCGGTACCACGGTGTGTGGCGTTAGGTTCAGCGCAGCATACCGACGGCCACACTAGTGGGGCTAGTCCGAAAATTTGGGACTCTCAATACTGTGTATGAGAGTCCCAAAACTTAAGGTATCCATATCGTGCAAAACTTTGTGCTGCATGATAAAACCAGTGTGAATCAAATTTGCAAGCTTCTTACTCACTACAGTTTCTTCAATAATCCCTGAAACTTCTGCCTAGCAAAGTTGCTGTTGTGAGCATTGCATCACCAAAATTTCAGCTTTTAATTCTAATTTTGCAGAGAGTTATCGAAATCCAAACGTGAGACATCACATTGATGTGTACTGCAATGCATTGTGCAAAAAGACTCCTCAGCTATAACATTTTCATCATGTAGATAAAACAGCGCCCTCTTGTTGATCTGAATGAATGCAAAATGGTTCATTTTTTAGCAGAGGGCGCTATGTTCATTTGGCCATTGATTAAAAAAACAAGTAGGCTGCAAGGCTCTTCCTACACCTACCCAGAATACATTGGGAATCACACACCCATTTCCAGAGCATGGAGATTGACGTGGGTGGTTTTTGAACTGCCAAAACCTTGCCTTAAAATTGGATTTAAGGTTCTCAAATTTCGCAGATGACATGCTTGCAACTTTATCATTTTGATGTTTGTGTTGTGTGGGCATTAATTAGCCAAATGGTGAGTAAAAAAACGTCAGTAGTAATTTTGCACGTTTTTATGCACTCACGGTCCCAGTCTGTAGTGGGGCTACTCTCAACAATGCCCATTCTTGTTTGGCAAAGGGAATTTTTTATTGATGGCGGTCTCTACTCGTGTAGTATCACCTTCTAAATAGATGTTCGACCCATCATCCATTAATAATAAATGCCTGACTTTGCTATTGCGGGATTTCTCATTTTGAAGCAATACATACATTTTGTTCATGTTGTTTGTGGGGTGGAATTCTCTATCCCTTGTCTGAATCATGGAAAGATTTCCATATCTGGCCATCACTATTTTCCCTTCAGTGACTAGTATCAGCCATCATAAAGTGATATGTCCTAAAAATAAAAAAAAAGAATAAAAAGTCAAATTTAGCAGGGAAAATATTGAAGCATTTTCTGAGAAAACACTTAAATATTTTTAGACCAGTCTCATACTCATAGGGTTTGTGCATAGGGTGACAAGTGATGGCCAGATATGGGAATCTTTCCTCAATCATAATAAAAAGGCTACTTTGCAGGGTCAAAATAAAATAGGACCCATGCCAACTCGGACCCACTACCAAACCATGACCAACCCATGGTAACATGTTTTTAATCATTCAATTTGGAACAATGTTTGGCAAAAAATCATTGACATATCCCTATACCTATAAGGCTATTTCAAAGTTAGTTAGCTCTATTTGCTTTCATTTAAAGAAATTTATTGCAACATCATTTTGCCATCTTTTCTCAATTTAACAATTTAATTCATGATTAATCAAAACTTTAAATGTAACGAAAACACAAATATAGCACATACATTAAAAAGAAACATTAAAATTTGAACTTTGAAAACGGAAATATAAACAATTCCAAACATTATATTATTACTTACACATAATACTGCATAAAAAAGTATTATGTAGACAAACTAAAGTGTATAACTAAAGATAAAATGAAGTCGTAAAAATGTCTCTAGTGAAAAATTATATGGGCTCCGTGCACAAGTACCCCTTCAACAGCCAAAAAATGAGAGTTGGGGGTGACCTAGACTGGTTCCCAATCCATCCACTGCGCATGTCTATTTTATATTTAACTTAAATTAAATAGAATATGTAATTATTAAAAAAATTTAACTAGAAACAAATTACCAACTTAACTAGAAACAAATTACCAACTTACAAGCACCATTGCCTACACTTTAAATTACACTTTTAAAATGAAAGACAAGTTGGACAAGAGAACTTAACATATTTACAGTGTCATTTAGAGTTGTATTGGTCTATAATGAACAGTTTTAGATGCATTTGCTTTAACCACCGAATTCGTGGACTTTTTCGGTGTTTTTTTTACTGCATTTTTTTAAAATAAAAAATAATAAAAAAATCCAGGCGGCCTCCAAAAAGGAAGCGGCATGACGAGAAACATGGTGTTTTTTTTTACTTCGCCTTACACAGCATTCGTAATAAAAAAAATATATGCACAAACACCATTGCCTACACTTTAAACTATACATAGAAAAATGAGAGTTCCCAATTGAATTTTAAAACAATGAACACATTCAGAAAAAAATTATAATCACCCATCAAAAACCTAAACAACTTCATAATACATGTACGAAAAGTTAGCATATTCAGGGTTCAACTTAAGCAGTGGCCGGCTAGCCAAGGCCAAAAAAAAAAGTCTCCGGTTTCTGGTATGCGCGCGCATCGCCGTAGCCATGCGCATCGGCAAAATGAAAAAGGTTTTTTTCCAATGAAAGATGATGTCTCAAAACCGCCAAACTCACCGGTTTGACTGGAATCCTGCTGCTGCACAATTTTAACGTGTTTGTGGATGGGGTTATGATCGAGAATAAGCTTTATGTGGCCTCTCTGGACTCCCATATAATCGCACTAAGTTTAGTCGGGCACCATTTGCAGTCATCAGCACACATTTGAAGCAAAAAAAATAAAGGGGAAAAAAAAAGACGCGTTGCCGCACCAATTTTTGGGCAAGCTCCATACCAGAAACCAGGGACTTTTTTGGGGGGGCCTTAACTAGCCCACTGGCATTTTTACTAGTCCGCATGTTTTTTTTCTACAGAATGTCTCATAAACAACAATGTTCATACATGTGTATCCTGAGTCAATCCTGTCAGTGTTTTTAATACAACAGATCTAATAATCTAACCCTAAACAGTTAATAAATTTAGATATAAAGTGATACAGGTTTGCTTTCTGAATTTAATATGTTTCTTCCTGTCCTTTCATCTTTGCCGTTATTTTTTGACTTGTCAGCCGAGCTAATTAAGGAATAGTTTGACTAGCCTGCTGCCGTTTTGACTACCATTTGGGCCCAAAAAAAAAGGCTCTGGTTTCTGGATTGGAGCTTGCGAAGTCATCTGCAAACAATCTAATTCTAATGAGGTTGCTTTCATTGATCTTAGTACATGTAGCAATGTCTAGCCCGACTGCATCTGGCAGTCGGGCTATAGATGCAGTCGGGCTATAGCAATGTCATGAATGATGTACAGCAGAAACATCAATGGGCCTAGGACTGTTCATTGGGGCACGCCAGACTGAACGTGCACTCCTGTTGATGATTCTCCGTCCAACAACTTGTACATGTACATCATCTACATGTTGTAATGTAAGTTGTGTCTGGTACAGCGACTCGGGACGAGTCGACCGTTGAGACAACTCGACCGTTGAGACAACTCGACCGTATGTGCGATAAATGGAAAGACAAGTCGACCGTTGAGACAAGTCGCCTCGCATGTTTTTGGGGATAGTACCGGGGATTGACGGCGGCTGATCGCCATTTGGAAGTGATGACACACAAGTTTTTTTGTTGCATATAACAGAGTTGATATAGCGCAGCGTGATTGTCTGTGCAAATCGTTCATTTTCCAGGCCTGTGCGCGCATCCCCAGTCAACTTGTCCGTACCGTGCACGGTGGCATCGTTTGTGCCGGGCGTGTGCGTCCATTTGCCGCGCAGTTCGACGTGCCCGCGTGCCGGGCCGGGCCCGGTCCTCGCGGGCGGGGCGGGGGGCGCGCCGGCCCATCGCGACAGCAACCGGATCGGAGCGCCCTCTGTGCATCGAGTATGCCCGCGCCCGGGACCGGTCCTGCCACAGATTTTTGCAACTTTTTCCGCTCCACGTGTATACATTTCCATTAAGTAGAGCTGTCTCAACGGTCAAGTTGTCCCGAGTCGAGTTGTCTCAACGGTCGACTTGTCTCAATGGTCGAGTTGTCTCAACGGTCGACTTGTCTCAATGGTCGAGTTGTCTCAACGGTCGACTTGTCCCGATCGAGTCGAGTTGTCTCAACGGTCGACTTGTCTGACATTCCTGGTACAGTGGGTAGTGAGCTAATCCCGACATTCAATTTGACCCCCGCAGTGTAGTTTGGTCATGTTGGTCAGCAAACGTTAGTGTGGTAGTACTTTGCCAAATGCTTTTGCAAAGTCAAGGATAAGTACATCTTGTTGTACGCCAGAATCCAGCCCTCTGTGGATGACGACGACAGCTATGGCAGCTTTTTACCATACACTACACAGTACATGC